TATTTATTGTACGGATCACATAGATTATTTTTTGAACGAGTCAATTAAAAATTTTTACAGTGATATTCAACACGTTAAAATTATTCACGATTTTCAAAGTATTCTCATTGTCTAGCGTTCGCCAGTTCCGCATCTCTCCTCTCGCGTCACACCGTATTCTTGCAAGCGTGACGTGCGGGAGGAAAAATAAAGAAAAGAAAAATAAGTAGGAAGATTCCTGTGAGGAAAAATTCAGAATTGGCGTTTCGCGAGCCAAATCGGAGGATCTCCGCGCGATCGAGCGTCGTCGACTTGCGAATCGCGTATTGCGCGTTTCTGCGTCATCCGATGTCGCGACGCGCTGTTCAAATGCGAAACGAGAGAGTCGGGCGACCCTCCACCTCCTCGATCGACTCGATGCTCGACAGCACCGTCGACGATCTCGTTCGTCCGAGGTGTCGTTCGCATGAGCAGCAGTGCGAATCACAACGGTGCACTGCGAAATTCGTCGTTCAACGTGAGGTGTCTCACACTGCCGCGTGTGTCGTCGCGCATCAGCGACGCGAAATGAGGAAGCTCGCGAACTCTGGCTGCAATCCCAGGCGACACGACTTCGTAACGAGCGCGGCTAATTAATCGAAATTAACGGACTCGAAACGGATCACGCAGAGGGATCTCGCGCACGGCCTTTCGTCATTCGCACACTCGACGGTTCGGATGTTCCATTAACACAAGCGCTCACTTCGGGAAGATGGCACGGAGGAAACTCGGGTGTCATTAATTAAATCGTCGAGGAAGTGACGCGGTTATCGATGGAAAGATATCCGGAAGATAATCGCGGTCACTTTGCGATCTCTGCTCTTTCTCGAACGCGACCACGTTAAAGTGAAGACAGTGCACACGTTGCGATCGCGAAGAACCGGTACGATCACGGTGAATTTACAAATTCCCGGTGCTCTGAAACGATTCCGCCGAGTGTCCCGTCCGATCCTCTCCTGGACTCGCGTGAGAGGCCAAGTTTTTCCGGTCGCGAATCATCGAGTTCGGTGTGAACGATACCTATAAGGCGTCACGCGTGTGTGTCACGACGCGCCGGAAATCGCGCGTACGTCGCCGTGTACACGTCCGGTATCAGCGACGGTCGCGCGAGCACTGAACGGGCGGCGGAGGAGGGCCGATTGCGAGCAACCCCTTCTCTCCTTTCACCCCCCTTTCGGCGTTTTACGGACACTCTTCGACTACGTGTAAAGACGGACGGTTTCCGCTTATGTGACACAACGTCCTTAGACAGTGGACATTACGTCGCTTCGTGCGTGTGTACACACGTATGATCGCAAACACACAGTTGTATTATTACAATACACAACATATCGTGACGGAGCAACATATTCGATTTGTGGAATTACACGGACGTATAGTATGCTGCAGTGCATTGCGGTATACGCGTTATCATAATGTATTTATCGGTCAACCATCTCCAGGCGCATTCGTTAAACGTGAGCGCGAGTTGTCGCCTCGCCCTCGACGTCACTGGCGACATGGATGTCGCAAAGAATCGGTGCTCTTGCAAAGCTCTTGGCGAACGCGTCTCGAGATTATCGCCATGTCGCGCAAACATCCTGCGATAATTCGCTACGAATTCACACGCAAATATTCACAGGGAACTGCCTTGAACGAGCTTATTGGCCCGCGTCGCGCGATGAAGACCGACTACGATCGATTTTCGAGCTGGAGGTCACTACACAGGGTGTTTCGTAAGGTTCGCGTTTAACGGTTCTGTAGAAGCGCGCTGCTCTCCGATAAATATAAATGTCACATATTTTTCCGAGCGAATTCTCCCTTCCCTCTTTCCAAGCTGTCAGAATCCTTAATTGAGTCGTCTTTCTGCCTCTCTCTTTCTCACTCACTCACTCACTCACTCACTCACTCACTCTCTCTCTCTCTCTCTCTCTCTCTCTCTCTCTCTCTCTCTCTCTCTCTGTCTGTCTGTCTGTCTCTCTATCTTCCTTTTCGCGACTCTCGCGAATCGCTCGCTCTGATCTCGCGATGTCGCGCAGCTCCAACTTCCTTAAATAACCATTAACAATTATGACACACTTTACGAATCGAATAATCGTGTTACATTAAGCGTCTCGTAGCCAGACGGGCACACGACGTTCCGCGTTGAATTATTGATCGCGGCTTTATTGGCCGCTGCGACGAGAATTCCACGCTGGACGATTTTATCGATGATCAGCTGCCACCATTTCCAAGGTGATCCGCGCCTCCGCGATTTTCATGTGTGTGAACTGGTAAACAAGAATTACCGCGAAGATACACGGCGCGAGCGAGAGATAACGCTCGTACGACATTAATTGAAAGTAACGCGAACGACGAATATCGCGCGCATCGTCGCGTACTTAATCGCGATACATAAATCTGAATCATACGAATAGCATAAATCTGACTTGCAAGCAGATCGCGTGGTGCATTTAATCGAATTGTATTAATTAAAGCCTTGTCAAATAGTCGCTGATGTCCAATAATCACGTTGAAACTATTTTCAACTGAATTAAATTAAATCCCAATCGAACTGTATGTGAATTGCGCGAAGTTTGCGTAATTATTCGTAGGAAAACGAAAGCGCGGCCGGTCCATGGAATTTCGAAAGAAGCGGCCCTCGCGTGAAACTCTCAAAATATTCACACCGTGGCGACTTTCCAGTTGAAGCGTAGGCGACATATGACTCGGTCTATCTAACCCGTTTATATCCTCAGCTCGGATCTATATAATGCATCGAATCGTGAGATATCTAACGGCGATAATGTTTGCGAACTGGTTTACGCAGCACAAACTCAACGAGCTGGCATTCTAACGCGCACATAAAACATGTACATAAAATTTGTTTCTTATTGTTCTGTCACACTGCAAGAAATAGAACTGCACTAAGTCCAAGCATTCGATTGTCATATTGAATAACTGATTGAATGAACAAATATAGTGTCTCTGATGAAGAACACTAAAAAAAAGTAGTGTTAGTAACCATAATTATGTAGAAGAATAATTACTATAAATTATGATCAAGAAAATAATGTTTTACTAAATTCTACTATAATATTAATTATAATAATCTTATACGTTACTACTATCATTTTCGCATTAGAACAACCAAAAAAATGGTTGGGGTCGAAAATTATTCTATAATTTCACTTAGGTTAATTTTTTTGTCTCAGTGAAGTTGACTTCACTTTGGCGATCGAATATTCACAAATTGGATTGCCATAAAGGATAAAATTCCGATTTGTCGACTTTTTCCGATCTCCGTCGGTTTTTCTAACCTACAATTCGCTTGATCTAATACGTTTCATTCGTTTAATTTAATCTCAAGATTTTTAGGTTGAGGTTTGTGACAGCTCCGATAAGTAAATTCGCGAAATAAATTTTGATGAAAATTTTAGATAAGAATCAAAGTCTTTGCGGAACGCGAGATCCGTTTAATGTCTCTCCAACGAGAAGCAAAGTCGACTATTCAGAATATATTCTCGTCGGGTGCGCTCAGGCACGGCCCTATTCTACGATACTATTAATACAATAGTCCCGCGACAGTATCGTGCAAGGAATCAGCGACTTTTTGCCGATTTTCTAATTTCCGTAAAAGCCCCTGAAAGGAAAGATTACAACGCGATCGCGCCGGGATGCGCGGTGCGCGACTTATCGTGACATTCAAACATACTGAATCGTTCGCCTCAAAAGCACGGTTGAATGTAACGTAGTGCACCGTAAGACAGGTTGACTTTAATTGGCCTTTATTATGACAATAATATTAAACGCACGAAATATCGAAACGAGGAAGAGAAAGAAAGAGAGAGAGAGAGAGAGAGAGAGAGAGAGAGAGAGAGAGAGAGAGAGAGAGAGAGAGAG